GATTGCAGTTTAGTTGTCGAGGAGGTAGAAAGAATATTTCAACTTCACTCAACCCGCTTATACAGGATGGATGCTTCGAACCATTGGCCCCTTCCGTCCATTTTGTACTGCACGTGCTCAAGGAGGGAGAATTAGTGTGAGAAAACCGCAGATGGCAAGTGAAAGAAAAAAGTAAGCAAGACAACTGCACAGTTTTGTCCACGACAAACAAAAATATGCCGGGTCTTGCCTAATTTCCGGGAAAACTAATGCGCGAAATTGTAGTAAATTCTTCAGAACAGACTTTTTCAAGCTCGATCTGAAAGTCGATATGAATATCTGACCTGAAATGCATCAGCTACCAAGGAATAACCGCGTAGTACCCACAGACCACCAACAGGCAGCCAGTAGCACACATAATATAGTAGTACCATACTGACAGCGTAGGTACTGACTGCCTGTTGGCGCTTGTGAATACTACGCGGTGATTTCGGAGAAGCTGCTGGATTTAAGCTCGGATACTAAAATAAACTTTCGGACGAAGCCTGAAAAGGTCTTTTCTGAAGAATTAACTCCAACATCGAGCACTGATTTTCTCGGAACTTAACAGGGCAAGAGAAAACGGGAGTTCTTATACCACAAAACAACAGGGAACGCTGAAGAACCCATTAATGAGCCGAACTCCTCACTGCTGCATCAGGCATCAGCAAATGATCGGCAAAACACACATGTCCGGGCATTTAGTTAGTACCTGTGCTGCCACTATAGTAACTAATTTCATAATAATTTGTCTCTTATCTTTGGCGATTTCGCCAATTAACGACAGTTTTCAGCAATGTGCTGATACCTGCAACCGGAGGGTGCCATCGGTTACCGGAAGTAAACGTTGAAACCGGCTTGTTGCATGACAAGAAGGCACACAGGTCCCGAGGCAGAAGTGAAAAGGTATTCATACGTGAAAGGACTTGGAAAATGGGGATCAAACATAAAAAGCCAGACTTTAAAAGGGTAAATATGTTTTTTTCATCCATTATTCATAGTGTGGTGTTTGCGAAGAGTTCATGTGTTCATGTGAAGAGTTCCGGGGTGATTATCCTACATACTCGCCTAACCCAGTGTATAGGGCTAGTGGCCTCCCATTTGTGTGATTTTTTTTTGCGCTTATCCTTCTTTGACAAGGCCAAAATGGTTACTGATATACTAATCCGACTTCCGAGGGCTTTTCTATAAAGTAATCCGAATTGCTGGCTAGCTAAGCGATTGGTTTGGCCGGACGAAAAATTATTGCAAACAAGGAGTTTTCCTACCTGGTCTACGAGAAGCTACGTCTAAGAATTCCACCAAATTTGTCATTAAAAATGGACGGAAACGAGGCTGTAAAACGATTCAGGCTACTGATTACTACATTCTCTATCACTAAGAAACGTTAAAACACTACTTAGACATTAGGGATTTGTCCTTACAAACATCTCGGTAAACGAGAATTATGCATTTCATACGAAGAAACTTGAAGTTAAAACGAAGCGCCATTTTGACTCCAAGTAGCACGTCGGAGGTCAGAATCAACATTAGACAACGGCTGTTAGCAGCATTATAATGAAGCTCTCACAGATTTAATTATCCGAAGCCGAATAACGACGGTTTGAGGAGGCATCCCAGAACATAAAATACTTAACTACAAGTTGAAACACGGGAAAGAGATTTGGATTTACGATGCGAAATGACAACAAAAATCGTTAGTGAAAGACATGATCTGATCAAGAACGACGAACGAGCAGGACGATAGAAACGGGGACAATTCAGCAGACTTCCGAATACTGTACTAATAGCTGAATTCGATCACAAAGGAAGGATACAGATCGAGGATCATTTTCTTGAATTACAGGTGGTAACAGAATATTCCACGAAGATCTACCGTGTGCTCAATCTCAGGCATGTGAAGTTCTGGTTCGTAGGAATTTCCAGTTGTGGGTCCACGTAACGGTCGAAGCAAGTCGCCGACTTGCTTGCAGTTGTTGACTATGCCTATCTTTCATTCATTGGCACCAAAATCTTACAGGTGGCTCTTTGAAGCTAAATTCTGCCTTGCGACTACATCCCAGTAACCAGGTCGATCGGCAGGATAAACCAGGTAAGGGTCCCTAGTAGCAAGAGTATATCGAGTCGATATACTCCAATAGCGTTTTTCCGCTGTACCCCTCCTCGTAACCTCATTGGTCGGATGAAATGGGTTGTCTGAGCATAGTTTTTTGTGAATTTACAAACATAAATGACTACTTCGACTACCCTAGGCGATCATCGCTTTTAAAAGTGTATAAGGCGAGCATGGATACAACTCTGCAGTGTGCTCCTTTACCG